GGCCATGAAAGGTACGAAGTTGAACGGTTTGAGCTGCAAACGCCTGGTGCTATATTATATTATATATTTTTGATGCAAAGGCCTTGATTCTTGTTCTGCACAGTTTTAGTTTCAATCTGGTGGCTATCGAAGCTCTTTCAGTGCGGTCTTGGCTGTCTCCATTAATTACAGCCTGTTTGCGAAACAATTTCTTTGACATGAACATTCATGTCTTGAAACCAGTGCCTTGTAGGAAATAAGAGCCGCTTTGTCTGTATATTGTGACACACTCCTGTATTATTCATCCGAAGTAGTGTCTCAAAGTCAGCAGGTCAGGCTGCCAAACTGATTGTAAAACATCAACGGTTAGAGCCAGGGCAGGTCCTGCCATGCAAACTCGATGCCATGGACTCTGAGCCTGCAGCTTTCTGCCTGCTGGACGCTCGATTAAAGGACAGTGCTTCAAGTCTGTGGGTCTGTGGACGCTCGCTATACAAGTCCAGGGTGTTCTCCCTGAAATCTGAAATGACTATGACCGACATCCATGGCATTTCGATCCGAAGATGTTCTTCACATTCTGCTGGCCGTGGCCACTGGTGTTCCCAGGGTCCATCCGGTGGTGGTGGACAATATCTAGAGGGGTAGTTCTTAGCTGGAGGGTGCGATGTTTATCCAAAGACGACGAGAGAAATCGTTCAGTTTGATCCTCTTTGTAAGCAAATTTGACCCACATTGGGGTAATCATTGGGGTATTGCTTAGCACTTTAGGTTTAGGTCATAAAGCATAAACATAGAGCATTGGGGTTCATGAGGAAACTGCTGAGGGCTGCCACATGCCCACCCTCACTGCCGTTGATTTGCGGGAATGCAAATGGATATACAGTAGCTGTTTTTGGTCGGTTTTATCGACTCGATGTAGCTCGTACCCTCCGACGGACCGTGGCCGGCCCTGTCGAAGGGTGATCGGTTCACCGTTCGTTCCGGTGGTGTGACGGACCTGATCTGGTTGGTGGCGGACCAGGCATGGCATGTTCTCTCGGGGGGAAGCAGCCAAGCACTGGATGTGTGAAACCCTGGGCCATCTGGAAACCTGACGATGAGTACATTCCTCCTTTGTCAAGCTTCTTCAGTCCGTTCGTCCTTTTTTGTATCAAGATCGTCAGTTGGTCAGCAAGACGTGAGTACGCAGTGTTGGATACAACTTCATAGCACCAATTGACTGGGAAAAGGACCATGTCAGTGTTGAGAAAAGGACCGCGGGCAGGTTTTGAGCAGAAGACATTGAACATGGACCAAAACCACTGACCGCAGGCCATTGCTCATTGACCTTTGGGACTCGCCACTGCGACAACATGCAGGGTGAGCGACAGCTGCCGCCCGGAGCGCACAGCTTTCGGGAACTGAACGCCCTTGATTTCATGGCCATAGAGGCTCAAGACCATTCAATTCCTGAGGTGACCAGTCTTATGACAAACTAAACTGGTAGAGCAGGCGAATCTAGACAAAGTGATGCAGATACCAACAAACACGGCTTTACTTTTGCTTCTTTTTTTTTGGACGATTGGCTGGAGCCCATCATCGATGCTGGCACAGAAGGAGGCCAATGACACCATAATGTGTGGAACATCATCCAACCTTCGGTTCTCGGGTCATGATTTCTGGGTATGTTTTGGACTTCAATCAAAATTTTTTACATGCAAACAGATTTTGAGATATATATATAGATTAGATGCAAGGATTTTCTTTCGCATTGGGCGGTGACAGTTTGACACCATGTTGATTTTCTGCAACTCCATGGGTTGTTTTTTTCCAATCTGGAGATTGCTGTGACTGCTTTGGTTCTTGTTCGAAACAATTTCCCATGCTCCTGCTTGCCTTACACGAGCGGACCTGACTGTGATGTGATGCTTGTAGATAAACTATTTTCAGTGTTCACGTAGATGCATAGATGTGCCAGATGGTCCTTGCCAGAGAGATTTTATTTTGAGGCTCACTTCCAAGTGAACTTGCAGAAGGAGTGCGGTTCGCCGCAGGATGGGCATTCGAATGATTTCAGTGACAGTCTTGCGCTTCTAAAGGCAGCTGGGGACGTGACTGCTCTGCCTACGGCTCAAGCGCAGGCCCCATACGTGCTGTATGGTGGTCATGGAATCACTGTTGACATCGCTATGGTCATCGGTGCTGGACACGACACAGGGACTTCTTTTGTGCCTTGGCACTTGCCTCACTGATCGGGGGTCAGCCCCGGAATGGCCACACCACCCTGATGACTCTTGGCTGGAGCAGGTCGCAGAGAATTTACATGCCAGCCTCGTTCTTCGAGCAATGATGCCCCTTGCAGGGCAATTCTCCATGCTTGGAAGCCCAGAAGGTGTCAAGACGCAGACCCTTCAGAAAATCACATTGAGTGGTTTCTGGAACCAGCGCTGCAATGGAGACTACTTCGAGCGGCCGGGAGAAGCGTTCATGCTTTATGATCGCCCTACCTACTGGTCAAAAGACTCCTCCAGGGCTTTGTGCTTCCATGCCCCATCGAATTCTTGGATTCTTTGTCCCAGAACATTTTGGCTTGATGAGAAGGTGCAGTGGAATTTTCACGCAAGCTACCCTTTCGCTCTTTGCGCTCCATCCGCATCCAAAGTGTGTACCGAGGATGCTCCTTGGACCAGGTGGTGTGAATCCTTTACCTGCAACCGGTACATACATAACAAGCATGCCCGTGTCACCGTTCAAAAAGTGCAGATTGTGGTCCGATTGAGGCCAAAGTCTATGCTGTCCACCATCCCAGGTGGATATCACTTTCTGAGACACCTGAAGGACAGCTGCCGGTTTTGTCCCTATAACGGTGAGGGGTTTGCACGGCAAAAGATGCTCCTAGTCTTGCAGATGATGGACCAGCTCCCGGCAGTGCATGGCTCATTGCCAGGGAGCCTGGCAAACAGTACGGATGAGCTAGACGTGGCTATTTGGGAAGGCTCGAAGTTGTTTAGGGCAGCTGAGTTGGAAGATGAGACACGGAGCTTGCTTTGCCAAAGCCGAGACGAGGAACAAAGTCGCCGAGCTGCTGAGGAGGAACACAGTCGCCGATCTGCTGAGGAACTGCTTGCTGAGGAAGAGAGACACGAAAGAGAGAAGAGAAAGAGGAGAGAAAAGAGAGAAAAGGCAGAAAAGAAAGATGCGCATCTGTCCAACAAAAAGCTAAAGAGTAGAGACACCAAGGCCAAGCAGGCTGGAAGCTCTGAAAATAGTGCAGAAGAAGATGCAAACGAGAAGGAGGATTCTTTTGAAGTTGAGTGGCGTGCTTTCCACGAGGATATCTCGGATCCCGTGTCCAAACTTCGGCACAACTTTCCCATATTTGATGATGACGTGCTCAGTGCACATCTCATGGAGGCTTCGTACGACCTGGAAAAGGCAGTGGTTTCACTTTCCAAGCTAGAAGCAGAACCTGTTGCAGTTTTGGAGCCGGCTGATATTCCGCGTTCTTCGAACCCTCCTCTTCGAAGTGGAGAGCCTAAGAGGCTGATGGCTAATGTCATTGCCAGAACAGACCATCCGAAAATGCCACTTTACTGCTTCATCGCAGTCGTCGCGAAGTCAAACCAGTCGCAGAAATATCGAGCAGGCCAAATTGTCAGACCTATTCCCGAAGACAGATTCCGGCTCTTAGGTGACGAGAAGGGTCACTTCTGGCTGAAGAAGACCAAGGTGCCCCAGATTGGAGACATCGTGGAAGTTTGCTTTTTTGAGGAGGATGCTCGTGACTATTTGGAGACAGCTCATGGAACGTATCCGCACCAGAACGAGGACCTTTTGTGTACAACCTTGACGCTGCACAGCCGTTGCGACCTTGAAAGAAACGCTCCTTGCTTCAGTTCCAACACGTGGTTTCGGTTGACTTTTTAAACAGTGTTTTTAAACGGTGTTTGCAGCCACTTGCATGCTAATTGACATTTGTATACATTTGTGCTTTTATTTAACAAGCAACAGCTACTGCTACTGCTACTGCTACTGCTGCTGCTACAGCCGCCACCACCACCACCACCACCACCACCACGGCGACAACGGCGACAACGGCGACAACGGCGACAACGGCGACAATGGCGACAACGGCGGCGACGGCGACGGTGACTGCGACTGCGGCTGCTACTCCTCCTGCTACTCCTGCTGCTGCTGCTGCTGTTACTGCTGCTGTTACTGCTGCTGTTACTGCTGCTGTTACTGCTGCTGTTACTGCTGCTACTGCATACAAAGTAGACTGATGGCACACGTGCACACAGGTGTAAGGTACCTTGTGTACAAACATTTTCTGTGGCACAACATGTGCGTCTTGGCATTTGTAGTAATGCCACTGAAGCATCGTTTCAACAAGGCCACGGCAGGCATGGCCCTGTTCAACATGGCAGTGGATGATGTGGAGTTGCAGTGGCCTTGGAAGAGTGCTCTCGGAAAGTTTGACGCCGTCCAGCCAGGCAAAAGGATTTGGTTTGTACATCCGAAGAAGCATTTGCGATCAGTGATGATTTTGCGAGTCAAAAGCTGGGAGACTGTGAACTTCAAGTACCGCAATGCCTCCAGCGATAGAATCAGTGTGGACTTCTCAGCAGGACGACGCCGTCTCACTGACATCGCCGTAACTGCTGCTGGCTTCGATGCTTCCCCTGCGGAGCTGAACCGGAGGTTTGCTGAGAAGTCGAAAGAAAGGGAGCAGCTGTTCATTCTAGGCCTTGCCCGTGCGGAGCATCGAGGCCCGGAAGGATACAATCGTCTTGGGGATTGCCCAGAACGGCAGAGGCGACAGCTGGATGTGAAGACACTTGATGAGTATTGTCAGATCCTTCTTATTGGGGTTCTACCATATCCGAAAGAAGTCGAGGGGTCGGTTGGGAGTCTGTTTGACGGGGCAGGCCTTTCAGCTGAATCCGGAGATGTGGCGTCTTTGTTTCCGCAGTCCTTGCACCAATGCCCGCGCTCACCGGCGAATCCAGTAGTTAGTGTAACTGCAATGAAAGTGAAAAGAGGCCATGTAGGACCAAGTGCGGCCCAGCCTGAACAGGCCTTGTAGAGATGTCCTAGACATGTTAGGACTTGTAGTTTGACTGATCACTCTCCCAAGCCCTGGTACAGCTTCGCCACCGGGTTCTGCCGGTTCTGCCTCTTCAAGTAAGCTTGGGACCCTTTGGAGGCTTGGCTCTCTGCATGGGCGCTGCCCCCCTCAACTCTTACACACCCAGAGAAGAGGACTACGGTACCCACACAAAACTTGTAGATTTATTGGGCTCTCAGAGCCTAGCAAAATGAGCCAGCCTCACAGGGTCACAAGACTTGAGACAACCAGAAGGCTTTGGGTGTTTTTCCACTGGCTTCCTGAGATAGTGCAGTCATCAATAAATCTCTAAAGATAGACATCGACCCTGAATCTGCGAAGAGCAAAAGAGGAGCACGATCTTGGATGGCAGCAATCGGCAGCAAACAAGTGACCCAATGACGCTCATGATCTTGCAACAAGTTGCCAGAATGTTTCCAGCCATGGTGGAGTTATGCATCAAATAACTGAAGTTGGCAGGTCGTCGTGACTATGACCGTGACGAGGCGGACTCCTTTTCTCTTCAACCGAGGAGCTGAGACCGGTTTTTTTGTACCCCCTGCCAGGACCGTGGCCGCGATCGGCAGATGTCCCGTGGCAGATATGTCTCCCGCAGTCGCGTCTCTGCGAACCGAGACTCTCGCAGCCCGCGCCGCTACTCAGGCGGTGGACTGTGTCCATGTTTTTTGTTCATTTTTGGATGGCTCAGGTTGAGGCCTTCGGTAGAGATATGTTGAGATCTCCTTTCCAGTCTGAATATTTTGGCATTTTC